TTTTTTTTTTTTTTTTCGTTCGAAGCAGAGAGCTGAAGATTTAGAGAATTATCTACTACAGTAAAAAACAGAAAAAAGTAAAAAAAGAAAAAAAAAGAAAAAGTAAGAAAATTATACCATCCAATCTCGTCCTCGCGCGAGGGCGAACAGTTACCGTTAACTCTTAAAAGAAAAGATATTAGTCCCCTGCCCACGTCCCCTACGATCGTTAAAGAAAAGTTAGTATTTGGAGAAAATTAAATAAAAAAAAAAAGGAAAAAAAAGAAAAAAAACAAAAAGAGCAAGAAAAATGTAGGAGATAGTTGAGAAATATTTTTGCAAATCGTGCAACCACCCGTTCAGGATTCTTTGTACGTTCTTCGCGTTCGCGTTCGCGTTCCACGCAACCATGAAATGAACGGATGATATAACGTAGGGTACAACCGTGTGGTCTGATGGATGGTGAAAGGATATTCGTTGAAGGGATCTTGCCTCATTGTAGATATATCCGGGACGTGCACTATCATTCTACGATTTCACTAGAGTATCTTAGCCGAACCGTTTCTTTCGTGTAAGCATTCTTACGTTTATGATTACGTTTTTTCGCGGTTTTAGCGAACAGTACGAACATACACCAAGATGTTTATTTTAAACAATTGACAAGACATAGAGAAACTTATAGCAGGAGAAGAGAGCTACTCTTTAAATGGATGCCTTCCCGCGTTGCTTCCTGCGTTAGTGCACGTTTCGGATTCAGGAAATTAAAAAGAAAGAAAAGAAAAAAAAAAAGGAAAAGAAGGAGAAAATCGAAGGAAGGGAGAGTGGTGCCTCTTGTGCCAGAGGCTTTGTACATATGTATGTAGCACGATAAGATAGTCTTATTGTTCTAACGATCGACGTCTCTGCCAGTCGGTTGCGCAGCTCCGTAACACGATCCTGTTTTACCTTGATATATTTCTAGTAATATTTTTGCCTGATTAAACGAAGTGATTGAACGAAGCAAGCGTTGCAGAAAGAAAAAGAGATCGACACGTTCATGACTGACGTCTGAACACCTCTACCCGGTTCAGGAGAAACGAAAATTCTAATATGTAAACGATTTCAACCGATCGACAGTTAGTTGACGCGAGTGATGGCGCGCGAACCACGAGCGAGAATGCGCTTTCTTTTTCTTCAGCTAGAAGCTCTTCCACTAGTTTCACCCGTGTAGCAAGGAGAGAGAGTTCTTATAGTCGAGCCGTTCCACGATCGAGCCTGAGCTGTGATAACTTCCGCGGGACGTCGGCACTTAATCCACGTTGTTTGTAAACTAATGTATTTTATAAAGTATATTATATAGAGGAGAAGAGGAGGAAGAAAAATAAGAGGAAGAAGAAGAAGAATAGAAAACGAAGAGAAGAAGGACACGAAGGGATTTCCTCGTAACGATCCGATAGACAGAGAGATGTTGAAAAAAATTAAACGAGGCAGTTGTCGTGTTAACGCGCAGGATAGTCGCAAACGAGACGAACGAGCGAATTTTCGAGCGAAACGATTGTTTCTTTTCTTGCGGAACGTTCGCGTGCTATCCTCCGTCGTGCAAGATTTTTAAAAAAAAAGAAAAAAAACCGAGAGAAACCGCAAGAGGGTGATAGAGTGCGAGAGAGTGAGAGTGAGAGAGAGAGAGAGAGAGGACGCACGTATGTGTGGGAAAACTAGAAAGAATGAGTAAGACAAGAGAGATGATTTAAAAGAAAAGAGAGAAGAAAATACGAAGAAATATTTAGCATTTTGCGCGAAGGTGG